CCTCAGCCCAGCCTGTGCCCTCTCGCAGTCTGGGACCCCTCAGGGGATGTCCACCTGCTGGCTTAGGCTCGCTCCCCGGGGGATCGGGTCTAAGCTGGCAGTCAGACATCCCTCTGGCAGCCTGGGAGCCCTCGGGGGATGTCCATTAGCCAGCGGGGACCAGGCCTAAGCTGCAGTCGGACATCCTTAGCACTGCTGAGGAGGCGGAGAAGCTCCAGCCATCACTGCTGTGCTGGCAGCCATCAGCCTGGCTTGTGGCTGAGCAAAGCTCCCCCTGTGGGAGTGTACTGACCACCAGGGGGCCGCTCCTGCATTGAGCATCTACCCCCTGGTGGTCAGTGTGTGTCATAGTGACCAGTCATTCCTAGTCGTTCTGCTGTTAGGGTCAATTTGCATATTACCCTTTTATTATATAGGATAGAGGCCTGGTGCATGGGTGGGGGGCGGCTGGTTTGTCCTGAAGGCTGTCCCGGATCAGGGTGGGGGTCCTACTGGGGCGCCTGGCCAGTCTGGGTGAGGGGCTGAGGGCCGTTTTCAGGTTGGCCACACACCGTTCAGGGAGAGGAGTCCTGCTGGGGTTCCTGGACACAACCCCTTCAGGGTTGGGGTCCCTGCTGAGGTGCCTGACCAGCCTGGGTGAGGGGCTGAGGGCTGTGTGCAGGCTTATCAAGCCCTCCAGCAGGGACCCACACCCCATGAGGGGCTGAGGGCTGTTTTCAGGCTGGTCAAGCCCCCAGCAGGGACCCTCACCCCATGAGGGTGTGGCCAGCCTGGGTGAGTGGCTGATGGCTGTTTGCAGGCTGGCCACAGCCCCTTCAGGGTGGGGATCCCCCCTGGGGTGCCTGGCAAGCCTGGGTGAGGAGCTGATGGCTGTTTACAGGCTGGTCAAGCCCCCCAGCAGGGACCCTCACCCCATGAGGGTGTTGCCAGCCTGGGTGAGTGGCTGAGGGCCGTTTTCAGGCTGGCCACACCTCCTTCAGGGTGGGGGGTCCTGCTGGGGTGCCTGGCCAGTCTGGGTGAGGGGCTGATGGCTGTTTTCAGGCTGCCAAGCCCCGCAATGGGAACCCTCACCTCATGAGGGTGTTGCCAGCATGAGTGAGGGGCTAATGGCTGTTTACAGGCTGACTACAGCCCCTTCAGTGTGGGGGTCCCTGCTGGGGTGCCTGGCCAGCCTGGGTGAGGGGCTGATGGCTGTTTGCAGGCTGGCCACAGCCCCCTCAGGTTGGGAGTTCCCACTGGGGTGCCTGGCCAGCCTGGATGAGGGGCTGATGGCTGTTTGCAGGCTGGCCACAGCCCCCAGCCACCCAAGCTCCCAATGGAGGCTGGCTGGAAGCAGGTATCTGGGATTTATTTAGCTTCTATAATTGAAACTTTGTTGCCTTGAACCCAGGCCACAGCCAGCCAGGGTAGGTGGGAAGTTTGGCTTCCTCCATCGCCGGGGCAACCAAGCCTCCTGCTTGCTCCAGCTCCATGGCTGCCAGCCGCCATCTTGGTTTTGTTAATTTGAATATAGTTGCTCTGATTGGCTGGTGGGCATGGCTTGAGGTGTAGCAGAGGTGCAGTCAATTTGCATGTTTCTCTTTTATTAGATTAGATGACTAGGCATGAATTTTTTTATTTAACTTGAGATTTATTTTGTTTACTAAATCTGAGTATTCATATCTTTCATTACCTTAACTATTTAATCAGCTATTATCGCCTCAAAGATTTTCTCTCTCCCATTCTCTGTCTCCTCTCTTCTGGAATACCGAAAAAAAAAAAAGAGAGAGAGAGAGAGAGTCAGAATCTCTCACTTTATCTTCTGTCTTACCTTTTTTCATATTTTCTACCTCTTTGTCTCTCTGTGCTGCATTATGTGTAATTTTTTCAGACCTAATTAATTTTCCCTTAACCAATGATAAATCTATTTCCTGCTGCTTAAACTCAATGATTTTTTACATTTCAATCATTGTTTTTAATTTTTTAGGACTCTAAATTGGTTCTGTATCAATTCTGCTGGAAATTTTTTTATAGCATCTGTTTCTTTCACATGTTTTTAATGTCTCCTTTAAATACTTTAAATATTCTAATATCTGACATCCTTTTTGGTCTAACTCTGCTCTGTGTTGTTTCTGCTGATTCTTCCTCAGAGTGGTTTCTTTCCCTTTGTTTTGTAATTTTGTATTATGTGCTCATGTTTGGCAGGATTTTATCTATTAGGAACCTGTGAAACCTATTCTTGGTTTAGGGCTTCCTAGACCAAGAAGGTAACGAGTTCAAACTCCAAAACTGTATGAGGGCAGGGCAATAGATACAACTTCTCAAAAAAGACTAATTTTTTTAATTTAATTTTTTCCATTACCATTTATCCCTTGTCCATGTCCATGAGTTGTTTATTTTCTATTTTGCTCAATACCACCACCCCCACAATACCTCCACCACAAACACCAGAACTAGTCTGCCCACTACCTATGAGTCTGAGAAAAGACTAATATTTCTACAACCAATCCTACCCAAGAGCCAGGCCTACAGACACAAGTTTCCTGATCATGTTCGTTTATACTAAGTGGCCTTTTTAAGTTAACTCTTTCCCTGAGGACATAGCCCACCAAGAATTTCATGCAGGGGTCTCAGTCCTGATCTTACTTTGTTTCCAATCATCATCTCCTGTCACCCAAGCCTCTGAGTTACTGAAACAGACAACCACAAAGCAGCTTCAGTACCAAGGCACTCTATGTTTTGGATCTCTGAGGATTTGCTTTATTTTCTAGTTAGCTCAGCAATCTATTTAAATGGGGACGTGTTAAACTTTATTCAGCATATCCAGGAACTTTGCAATTGAAGTTTTTTTGTTTTGTTTTTTAGGATATATATGCCATCTTAGTGTTCCTCCCACATGTTCTTAAATGATCGTTCAGCTTGCAATGTATGGACCAGTTTGGAAAGGAGAAACAAGCAGAAGCAGGGAAACCTATTAGGGAACTATTGCAGAAATTTAGACAAAGGTTTAGATAATAACTTGAAGGAGAGTGGTGGTGGTAGAGAGAGAAATAGATGGGCAATATTTAGTAAGTGAAATCAACACGGTTTCAGACGATCAAGAACAGATGTCTAGTGGGGAGTTTTTATAGGAAACAGGAACTCAGAGGTGAGATTCAGTTACATAGAACACTTGGCACGTCTTTGAAACACTGGGAATTTAATTCACCTACATAGATGCTTGGGGGAAAGTGCACAGTGGGAAGAGAAAGGTCCTAGGACCTTGCTTTGAGGAATACCAACATTTTAAAACCTTAGAGGAGGCGAAACAAGCAACTGAGACTGAAAAGACTGAAAAGAGCGGGGAGACAACCCCAGAGGGCGTGGCTTTCACTCAGACCAAGAGATGATTTCCAAAGGAAGGGAGGAGTCAGCAAGGGTCCAGTGATACAGAAATCAAGAAAAATGACTGGAAAACCAGGCATTCCTTTTAGTGACACATGAGAAACTGGCAGTCTTGGCGAGAGAGGCGATGAGCGATGGAGTCAGAGCCAGACGGCAGTGAACTGGGAAGTTAGAAAACGGACACGGCTCATTGGGAACGTTTGGCAATGAAGGCGAAGACGGAGGACATTAGCAGAGGACAAAGGGGGCTGGAGAAGGGCTCTTTAAAGACGGGGGAAACTTTAGGATGCTTAAACGCCGATAGGAAGGGGCTGGAACAAAGGAAAAATGAAAGGCCGCGTAAAAAGAAATCCACTGTAAAAGTGGGTGGATTCTTTCGGAGTAATGACCCACAAACTGAATGTACCTCCAGAACCTAGGGGATGGAGCAGCTTCGGGTTTTAGCTCCAGCGTGTCTTCCCGCCTCCTCCCCTTCTTTCCGGGCCCCGGGGCCAAACCCGCCGCTACTCTTCCAACCCCCACCTCGACTCCCCATCCCGCCCACGACTGCCCCACACAACCACACACACTCAGTCCGGGACACGCCCCGCAGTGAACTGCTTGTAGTGCCGCCTTTGCTAGGAATTCTTCCGGGTCACGGGGCAGGGCCACGCCCAGTCTCGATCCCGACCTGCCCACTCCCCAATGGGAGCGCCCCTCCCGAAGGACGCATGCGCGTGTCCTCCCTCCTCCCCTCCCTTCCCAGCTTCTAGATGTTGCGCAGGCGCGTTAGGTCGTGGTTGCTATGCGGGTGCTCGTGGGTGAGGGAGGGCAAAGAGGGAACGTGGGGGGCGGGTTTATGGAAAGAAGATTGAGCCAGAGTTGGGGAGCCAGGTGGACCCGGAGGGAGGGCACTGTCTCGTGCCCCGGCAACCTGGCCTTGGCCTCCTAACCGGAGAAGCCGAATCTCCCTAACCCCTGTGACCTGGGTCACCTGTGTATCGCGGAGACGGGGCCGAGGAAGAGGGGAGGAGGCGGGGGGCAAATGGCCTGGCGCCAGAAGAGGGGGCCACAGGCGGGAACGGAAGGCACCCCCTGGAGAACAAACACCTCGTATTTTCTGATCAGGTGGCGGGACGGGCTTCATTGGGACAGCCCTAAGCCAACTGCTGAAAGCCAGAGGTCACGAAGTGACACTCGTCTCCCGACAGCCCGGCCCGGGTCGGATCACGTGGGTATGTCCGCCCTCGGGAGGCTGGGGCGGGGAGGAGGGGTGGCCCTTTTGGCGGCGCCGGGCGAGGCGGGCACTGTGCGCTCTGCTTTCTCTGACAGGATGAGCTCGCCACGTCGGGGCTGCCCCGCTGCGATGCCGCAGTCAACCTGGCTGGAGAGAACATCCTCAACCCTCTGCGACGGTCAGTCCGCGCTGGGCCCCAAGGCCGGCCCTTCAGAGCAGGACGTGGAGAGGGACGACTCAGACCCCCCGAGATGTGAAGAATGAATGGAGAGGCCGGACCCGGACCGCTCAGCCCGCCCCACTCCCCAAGCCCACCCTCGCTTCTACCCACTCGGCCAGTTGGCTTTAGTCCTCACTTACAACTCAGGATGCCCAAAAGGGATGTGCCTTTTCCCTCTAAAGGAGAGACGGACAATTTCTCTAAGCCACAATGCAGGGTTTTACTTAGAAATGGGCACGGACGAGCCTCAGGGAAAGAGAGGGGAAGGGAGATGTGCATGTATGCATTCAGTGGCTTATTTCCCTCGTTTCTCCTGCAGGTGGAATGAAGCTTTCCAAAAAGAGGTTCTCAGCAGCCGCTTGGAGACCACCGACCTGCTGGCTCGAGCCATCACCAAGGCCCCACAACCCCCCCAAGCCTGGATCCTCGTCACAGGTGTAGGTATGCCCCAAATCACCAACCCCTTACATTAGCCGGGGGAAGAGAGTACACGGTGAGGGGGTAGCTCAGGCCCTTCTAGCCATCCAGGCCGAGAGGTCTTCCTGGGCCCTTGTTCCAGGCACGTTTCTCCGGACCTTTGTGGACTTGTGCTGAGAAACAGGCCCTCAGAAAGAGAGTGGAGCTGTGCTGCTCCCAAGTCCCTTGCTTCTCACAGCACAGATCTTCAGGAACAGCATTTCTGATTCTTGTATTTTGCCTTTGGGACCAAAATAATGGCAAATAGTGTTAACATATACACCAGCCACTGAATGTTTTACACATTTAATCCTCACAAGAACTCTATGAGGTCCGTACTATTATTCCATGTTTATTATTTTTTAATATATTTTTATTGATTTCAGAGAGGGAGAGATAGAAACATCAATGATGAGAATCATTGATCAACTGCCTCCTGCACGCCCCCTACTGGGGATTGAGCCCGCAACCTGGGCGTATGCCCTTGTCCGAAATCGAATCCGGAACCCTTTAGTCCACAGGCCAGCCAACACTCTATCCAATGAGCTAAACTGGCTAGGGCCTATTATTCCATTTTAATAATGCAGATATTCTGCACAGAGAGGTTATGTAATTTGCCTTAAGTCAGACTTAATAAATGGTGGAGCTGAGGTTAAAACTCAGCCTGGCGCCCACGTCTTTATTCTTAACCACTACACTCTAGCAGCCTCTCAGCTTCGCTGTGCAGCTAAAGGTAAGTTCATCCAGGCAGTAACAGGTCAGCTAATGAAGAAGGGGAAAAATATCCACAGCTCTGTCCAATGGGGATATCCAAAGGCCAAGGGGGGATCTTCATGGCAAAGGGCCAGGCAGGACCAAGGACAGCCAGGGCAAACAAGTGCTGTTCTACCGGCAGCTTACTACCAGCCCAGCCTGACTGCTGAGTATGATGAGGACAGTCCAGGAGGGGATTTTGACTTTTTCTCCAACCTCGTAACCAAATGGGAAGCTGCAGCCAGACTTCCTGGAGATTCTACACGCCAGGTGGTGGTACGCTCTGGTGAGAACAAGGGGCCTGCGTGTCAGGCAGGGTTGCAATGTCTTCTCTGGGCTGGGGGAGTTGGGGGATAAGGGGAGCTGAGCTTACTGAGTGAGGATGCCACTGCTTCGGGCCCACTTGCAGATGGGAGGATGGGAAGTCCCAAAGAGAGCCGTACTCTTGGACAACTACAGAGCTAAGCCAGCATGGGAAGAGTGAGAAAGGGGAGATGGGGAGAAACAGTGGGCTGCCTGGAGGCTGAGGGGCCTCCCTGTACCATCCTTCTTGCCTACTCTAGGGGTTGTGCTGGGCCGTGGGGGCGGTGCCATTGGTCACATGCTGTTGCCCTTCCGCCTGGGCCTGGGGGGCCCCATCGGCTCTGGCCAACAGTTCTTCCCCTGGATTCACATTGGGGACCTGGCAGGAATCCTGGCCCATGCCCTTGAAGCAAGCCATGTGCAGGGCGTCCTGAATGGAGTGGCTCCAGCCTCTACCACTACAAATGCTGAGTTTGCACAGGCCTTAGGCACAGCCCTAGGCCGCCCGGCCTTCATCCCTCTCCCTAGCGCTGTTGTGCAAGCTGTCTTTGGACAAGAACGTGCCATCATGCTGCTGGAGGGCCAGAAGGTGATCCCACGGCGGACACTGGCCACTGGCTACCAGTATTCCTTCCCAGAGCTGGGGGCTGCCTTGAAGGAAATCGTAGCCTAAGTGGGGAGGTTCCATCATAGGGCCTAAGGCCTGTCCCTCAATAGAGGGTTCCCAGTGAGAGACTGTGAATAGGTCAGGTACTCCTCTACCTGAGACCTAAAACCTCTTTTTTCTTTCTCATTATTCTGTTGCTGCACTTTAACTGACTGCCCACTGTTTCAAGGTTGCAATTTCATCTAGTTGTGACCTTACCCTCTTCAACTCCTTATAAAAGAGTTTCCAAGTTTGGTTTCCCTATATGTCCCATTCCTGCCCCATTTCTCTTTTGCTGTGTAATGAATGCTCTACAATTTAGGCAATAAAGATAAATTATCTCATTAGCTTTGGCTCATCTCTCTGGCCTAGGTTCTGCTTGAATGTATTTCAAGGAACGTCACCCTAGATGACTCTTTCCTCTATGTGGGGTTTTGAAAGTGACAATGAGCAACATCTTTTTGTTTCCTCCATTGCCAAAAGAGTTAAACTGGGAGCGTGAGATTATGATAAAAGTAGAGACTATAAGATAAGTGACTCATTTCCTGTGGGTTCTGTGGTCATCCTGCTGACTTATTCACATGGTACCATTAGGATGCCAGCGAAGAAATGGGGCCCCAAGTCTAGGACAGCCTTCCATCTGTCACTGAATTAATAAACCAATCACATACTGGTCAAAGTTCATCAAGCTGCAGGAGTAAGCTAGCACCCCTCTAAGAAGCTTAGGACAGGCCTAATATCAGAGTCCCAGGCAGGACAGAAGATACCTTTGGCCTACTGTACACCCACCATCACTGAGAGTGAAAGGGGCAAGGAAATACCAAAAACTACAAACAACCCCGGGGGTGGGGGGTATGGTGGAAATGCCCAATGTTTATTTAGGAACCTCTCCCTTTTTACCTACCCTGATTTCTACATGACCAGTGGTTCCTCAGGCCACCAAGTTGTGCCATATTAATCAATCTCCTTTCTTCCAAGGAGACTTTGAGTCGCTGTCAGCTCCCTGGCTAGCCTTTCTTCTACACACCTGTTCCCAGCCCAAGTCAATAAGGTCTAGTAATATACATCCCCAGCAGGGAGGAGGGGCAAAGACTAGGACCCAGAACCCTCCCCTTCATCAGTCAGCTCTCACTAGAATGAGGAACTGGGTGACAGTCTTAAACTCCCCATGCTGCTCAGGGAACAGAAGCCAGAGCCTGAAAATGATCATGTCCAGGGACTTGCTGCAGGGCCCAGACACAGAACCCTGTGGCACCTGCCCCTCTTCTTTATCTGGTCCTAGGCTCTAGAGTCTAGGAAGTTGGCTGGCCCTCTATTATTCCTGAGGGAATGACCAGCCTCAAAGGCAGAAGTACAGAAGGGTATATTGGGGGCTGCAATAAAAGACTAAACTGTCCACGAGGTAATGTGCTACCTTGAAGGCAGTTTTTTGGCACTAGCGGACTTCAAGCAGATACAGGACAATGACCTGTAGGATTTTGGGTGGAGAGGATGTTCTGATGGGACAGCAGTTGGTCTGATTCTCCCCATTTTAATTCTTCAGTTTTCATTTTCCAGATAATTAGTTCATCTAGTTACAACCTCTATAGCCCTTCCCCACCCCCAACCCCATACATACACACATACACACACACACACACACACACACACACACACACACACAAAGCAGAAGTGGGCCTCGCTTTATGCAACATAAATGTTCTGTAGAGAAAATGCTAGGGTCAGATCACATTAACATTGTCATAGCAGAGCATGGCTTCCATTGATTTGGTGAATGCGCGACACCACAGCAAGTGCATTGAACAGGGGACTTTCTGACACATTCGGTAATCTGTAAACAAACACTTGAATGCAACAGGAGAGCTGCCATTTAGAGGAACCCTGAGAGTATTCTGGTAATGCAAACAGTCACCCCTAACTAACTGTTCTGTAAATGTGGACTTGGGGGTTGCCCAAAGGGACGCAGCCATTATAGGGCACAAAATGAGGGTGCAGTGTTAAAATCTAGGGCGCAGGCCCTGGGAACAGAGGACACTTGGTTCTCTGAAAATGAGGTTTTGGTTTGGAAGCCTGTGCAGCCACAGACAGACACACCTGAGACTTGGTCCATGTCCTTTTCCTCCAAAGAGCCCTGCTCCATGTTCTCATTTCCCCCAACAGGCATTTTTTCATCTGATTTATAGGCAGAAGTAAAGGGCAGGTAGCTCAATCAAGGTCACAGACAGGCACAGCTAAGACCAGAAGCCAAGTCTTCCTCTACTTTCCCCACCAGCTCCCTGCTGCCCACTGTAACCCAGACCCCAGCCTTTCCAGGGCCCCGCATTCCCTTTTCAAGGTTCCCAGGAGTTCTGCCAGGCCTGGGAGCATCCTGTCCTCTGGCTATCTAGAGCAGCAGCCAGGGGTAGGAAAGGCTTGCTTCCTTGCTACCTGTCTTCATTCCCCTCCCACCCACCCCAGCCTCCATCCCCAACTCAGCTTTGAGGAAGAACTGGAGTCCCAATCTCCAGGACCTAGCCTTTCCAGCAGCCTGCACTCCCTACAGAAACCCTGTGCTAAGGCAAGCAAGGTTGAGGAGTTAAGGCTGACCAGAACCCCTTGAGAGCTGGTTGAGGTCCTGACTCAAGAGGAGATCAGGTCTCGTTATGTCCCCAAAGTGCCCCAGGCAAGAGCATTCCCCACTCACGAAGGCTCTTCTCAGTGCTTCCCTTACCCAATGCACCAACTCAGAGTGGGTCTGGGGCAGGGTCTGAGCATCACAGAAGGGACTAAGCTAGGCAAGGCTGGAGCTGATGGGATGGCAGCCACTAGGGCAGGTGAGGCTCAAAAGTTGAGACTGAGCAGGGCCTCAGAGAGCTGGTTGATGTCGCGGCAGTAAGGCTCCCGCTGCAGGATGAAGTCCACCTTGTGATCCTGGCCCCAAAACACCTCCAGCAACTGGCGCCGGAGCCTCTCAGTCTCCCGGGTCTTCCGAATGCCACCACTGCCTTTTTCCTCCTCTTCTCTCCCCTGCTGCTGATGACTGTGTTCTGTGAGGCCCCTGGAAGGATGCTGAGCCTTAGAAGATTCCTGTGCCCTAGGAAGAAGCAGGGGGAATAGAAGAGCTGACGTGCATCCTGGAGAGAAGTTAGAGGCTCAGTGGGCCTCCCAGCTCTCCACTGCTGTTAACTGCCCTGCCTATACCTGGCTCTGAAGTTCCCTAAACCGACCACTGAGCGGCAGTATCAACCCACTTCTGACGGGGAGACAGAAAGTTCCTTTGAAACCAGGAAGGTGAACCTTGCCATTTCTATAAATCTAGCCTAATAAATTAATCACTTACTTAGTGGTCCAGCAGAGGGCGTGCAGAATACAAGTGGCCATAAGTAAAATCAACCATGTTCCAAATTAACTCCAGCAAACTAACTAGAGAAAACAGGAAGCAGGAGCTTCCCTCCCAGCCTGCAGAGTCTGTGTCAGGACTTCCAGGGAAGCAGTTAAAGGCAAATTAAGCTGGTCCACACTGAGGTCACACTTCCTCCAAGTCTCCAGGCCTGCAAGGCCCCTGCAGAAAGGGGGCCAAGGCCAGGCTGCCTACGAGAGTCTGAAGCGTTACCTGACTGGCTTCTTCAGGAACTCATCCAGCATGGGGCCATTTCGCCCCAGTGGGTCATCAGGGACCATGAAGAGGTTTCCCACGAAGGTGAAGGGCAGCAGGCTGGATGGGAACAGAAATGTAATGGTCACAGAGGGACCCCTGCTCACCTCCCAAACAGCTGAGACCAACTCCACCAGAAGCTGTCAGCTATTATCCTTCAAGCCCGTGTCAAGCCCCTTCCCAGAGTCCTCACCCGGTGGCAGAGAAGCACTGGTTTTAGAGAAAGGTCTGAGTCGGAGCCCTTTTCTCAGGGGATGCCCCCTCACCGCTCTCTGATGATTGCCATCCACTTCTCAGACTCCTCCGCCAGGTCCCGGAACTGGTCATTGGAGACAATGATCCCGTCGGTCTCTTCAGCCAGCTTCACCATGAACCTGTCTCAAAAACCACAGCGGCATTCTGGAGTTCTCTAAAGCCTCAACCCCAAAGAGCACTATCAACTCCCATGACCCACCGCTGGTGATGGAGATCTGTCCCCACCACCACCCCCATTTTGACCCAGCCACCAAGGAACCGACTGGATATATAGGTTAGAGAGAAAACAAAGACCAATCCAACGTGGAATCCTAAGAAAGTCCCCTCCACTCACCACAACCCTCTACCCAATACTTTGTGCTTCGTTAATAAGACAGTAAGATCTAGCCCTGGTCCTTTCTTCCACCCACAGTCACAAATCTAACAATCAGTCACAAATCCATCCTGCTTTTCCTCTTAAAAGCCTTCTATTCTGTCCCCTTCCTTTCCAGTCCCACCATTACAACCTTAGCTATTCAGACACTGCAACTGAGATATTGATAAGGGGTCCCCTGACATTTACCACCCGGTGGTCTCTCCTGCCCTTCCCCAAGAGAACATGTTCTTCAGCTACACAAAACTCTTCCATACCTGCCCATTATCTACTGCATAAAGTCCACAAGCCCAGGCCTGGCAGCTAAAGCCCTGTAGAGCCCAGATGCAGCCACTTTTATGGCCTTCTCTCTCCCTGTATTCCCAAAGGTACTCTCAACTTCAGCCCAAATCAATGATTGGATTACGTCTCTTCTTCAAACATCCTCTCTGACTTCTATGTTTCTCAAATTATTCCCTACATTCAGGAAGGTGATCCCAAGCTCACTGATGAACAAAATCACAAGAATAACTTTTTAAAAGAGATGCCTGCCCTAGCCAGTTTGGCTCAAACTGGCCTGCAAACCAAAGGGTCCTAGATTCAATTCCAGTCAAGGGCTTGTACCTTGGTTGCAAGCTCCTCCCCAGCCCTGGTCAGGGCTTGTGCAGGAAGCAACCAATCAGTGTGTTTCTCTCACACTGATGTTTCTGTCTTTCCCTCTCTCTTCTACTCTCCCTAAAATTCATGGAAAAATATCCTCAGGTGAGGATTAACAAAAAATAATAATACATTTTAAAATAATAAATAAAAGGAGTTGCCCGGACCCCACTTGAGTAATCCTAATTCCACAGAACTGGGCAGTGTGGGGAAACTCACAAAGGGGTAGGCTGGGATCTTTTTGAACAGGTTTAGAAAACAAGATCCAGCTCATCCCATATTCTTCTCTATCATCAAAAAATACAAATCTCTCCCTTCTCACAAAACCCCAGCCAGAAGCGGGCTCCCTTTCCTCCAGGTTCCTGAAGTGTTTGATTTATAGTTTCTTTTGGCTCTTCAAAATCATCCCCAGCATTCCCAACTCCTTCTGCAAGCCACACACCTAGCAGTAAGTGGGCAGTCAGTATTTGAAAGACTGTGGAACAGAGGGACTACTAATCAGGATAGGATGTGCCAGATGTCTGATTCTGAGTTTCTGTCTGGGAAACAAATTAAGATGACATTCAATTGTATACAGTGTCATATAATATACAAAAAGGTATTTTCAGGCTATTATCATTATGTAACATGATACCATTATCATGTTACATCACATGTTGTTCAGCAGTATTCACCCAGTTGGCCTAGGCACCACTGTGAAGTCACTATAATTAGGCAAAACTCCAAATTCATGTAGTGCTGTCAGCTTGTCAGGACCTACACAACTGTACAAACACGTGCCTTTAAAATTCACAACAACTGACTTGACCTTCAGTTTCAGTTCTGTGTCAATGCTGGTATGAAAAGAAGGTTCTATATCTTAGATAATCTGTGAAATCTAGACATAAAAAAAGAGTATCAGGAGACAGTGAATTGCCTTTTTGTAGAATACCATTTACTTGACAGGGAGAAAAAGTTCAGTACTTGAAAAGAAAAAATATGTAATCATTATGGTTTGGAAACTAGTTGTTTTTTTCATTTAAAACTGAAAATCCTGGAGAATCAAGAACTATAGCTGCAAACATTTTAATTGGATTAATTAGCTTTTAAAATCTGCCCATTTCCCACACGGTGTATGTACACTGAGGATGAAATGTGTCCTGTGTTTTTCATTTAAACCATCTGGCAGCTTTCAATTCTTATTTTTCCTTTGCCACTTAGTAGGTTTTGCCAGGAGAGTTAACCACTCTTAGCCTCTGCTCCATTTCAGTTCTGTAGAGATAAGACCTTCTGCCACACTTGATTGTGTTCATGAACAGTTCAGGAATATCACTGCATTCTTGCCTAGCACCTTGAGTGAGAAAAGCACATAACTTATCTTCTTTTGACAGTCACAAGGAGCATGAATGAATGGAAGAGGACCCTGACATAAGAGGTTAATTCACTAAGAGACTGGTCCACAGTCAGAGTCAATGAGTAGTACAACTTGGGGCTCCAAGTCAGATCATCCAATTCTAGGTCAAGTGATCTTTCTTTCTTTTTAATATATTTTATTGATTTTTTTACAGAGAGGAAGGGAGAGGGATAGAGAGTTAGAAACATCGATGAGAGAGAAATATCGATCAGCTGCCTCCTGCACACCCCCCACTGGTTTGTGCCCGCAACCAAGGTACATGCCCTTGACCAGAATCAAACCTGGGACCTTTCAGTCCGCAGGCCGACGCTCTATCCACTGAGCCAAACCGGTTACGGCGGTCAAGTGATCTTTCTATGATGCCATGTTTTATTTGTTTTGTTTTATGTTAGTATGCGTGGATTGTGTTTCTTCATTTGACTTGTTATTTTGAACATTTACTCTGGTTTTTCCAGAATGTTGGGGGAATTTCTCTAAGTGTTTGCAAATTTAGGATGTAAGAACATATTTGTCAGCTATTCATGTCATAAGCTTTCACATCTTCCCATTAAACCAGTATTTCCTAGACAGTAGGCACTATATAAATACAAAGTATTGTTTAGTTTGATGAATGAAAAATGAATGATGAATGAGCAAACACAGTTGTCTACCATCTATTTCATCTCACCTGTGGGGCAGGTTTTCCTGCCCAGTCATAGAGACACATGAAGAAATAACTGGCCCTGTACCCAATACCCAGGCTTAGAAACAGTGCAAAGGGTCAGGAGCTTCTGACTCTCCCTTGATCTCCCACTGGGCTCCTTGAATGTCAAGGCTGGGGCCAGGAGAGAAGCAAGTACCTGTCATCATAGGAAGAGATCCTCTTGCCATCCATGACTCGGGAAGGAGTGAGGGAGAGCAGACTGAGGGAGTAGAGCTTTTGCAGGTAGTGACCCTCTAGAAACATAGGAGCACAATGCAGTTATCTTTAAGGTAGAAGCAGGGTCTAGCCCAGGTCACAAAAGACCAGGCCCAACTCACCTTTGACCCTGGCATCCCTATTGAAGCGCCACTGAGGCACAAAGACAGTTATGTCCCGGTGGCCACGGTCCCAGAAATACTGCACAGCAATGGCAATGCCCCGGCTGGAGAAGTTGTGCTGGAGGCCATGCCTGCAGTGGGAAGGGGTCGGCACTCTGGGGCCCCAGACGAGGGCCTAGCAGCCTGGCTGGAGTGCTTGCCCCTCAGCACATTTCCCCCAGGGGAAAGCTGCCCATCTCCTCCCCCTCCCCAGAACCCCCAGTCCCACCTGGTACTCACACCATGGCCACGTTGCTGCCATCAATGACAATATGGCGGAGGTCTGGCTGGCCAGGTACATTGGCAAGGCACAGAGTAAAAGGGTCCTGTAGGGCCTCCTGGAAACGCTGTGTGCCAGTCACCAAGTTGCCCCCCCGGGTGCCTCGTTTCCACGGAGACCCCCGACCTCGAGCCACAACCTGCTGCTTGTCTCCCCTGTCTCCGCGGTCTCCACAATGCCATGGGGGTTCAGGTGCAGGTGGGGGGCTAGGCACTCTGGGAGGTGAGGCTTCCCCGTTGTGGAGCCGCTGGAGGAGAGAGGCTCCCCGGAGCTGAGCTGCCCTCTGACAGCCCTGGGCACCAGGAGGCTCACCCTGGATACAAAACCTTCCTCCTCTTTCCTGGGGCCCCCCGTCCTTCCCCGGGGCCTTCTTCTTCAGGAACCCTTCCTGCCCTACCTCTCCTCCCCCTGACTGTGACCTGTAGGCCACTTCTTTCTCCCAGGCCTCTTCCCCAGGCCGCTCCTTCAATCCCAAATCCATCTCCTTGGGGCCACCCTGCTTCTGTCCCTCCTTCTCTATAGCATGTCTCTCTCCTCTTGACTCTGGCCACCCTATAGGTCCAGTGTCCAGGGACCCCCTGCCTTCATTCAGGGGAGCTCTGACTCCTTGATGCTGAGAACCCAGCAGGCCTGGGCTCCCCCCCTCCCAGGAGAAATGCGCTTGGGGCCCTTGTCCCCTGGATGCCTCCTGTACCAGACTCAGCAGTTCCTCCTGGACAGCCAGGGGCAGCTGCAGCAGGGCCTCTCTGTGGGCATCCCCCTGGGGCTGCAGCAGGGCACAGAAGTCCCTCCGCACTCCAGCACACTGAGAGGCTCCAGGAGGCAGCCCTGGCTGAAAGTCCCAGCTCAGCCGCTCCACCAGCTCCTCCACTCGGCTCTGAGCCATGACGAAGGCCTCCGTGAGGCCACTGACCATCAGCGATCCAGGCGCCCCAGGCACCAGGTGGGCTGATGTGCTCCAGACCAGGCAATCAAGGAAGAAGCCCTGGGCCCCCAGGAAGATGCAGTGCAGTTTGGGTGGATAGTGGATTTCATCCTGCAGCTCTGGGCTACAGAGACCCTTCAGGTACTCCTGGGGAAAGGGGAGAAGAAGGGGAAAAGGAGACTGCTGGAATCCTAAGTGGCCCAGTAGCCACTTCAGGCTCACTGCTCTCCCCTGAGCTCCAGGATGCCTGGGCAGAGCAATGATGCCCCACAGATCCTGACAAAGGTAGGGGTTAAAAGGGGTCAAGAACCTCACTTCCTTTCCTTTCCAGCTGACAGCTATAGCTAGTATTTCCATTTAGAACTTGACTGGCTTTAAGATACAATTATAACTAATTGATTACAAGACTGTCTCTCTATTTATGTGTGTATGTGTGTTGTCTATTTCTATCACAATGATCGCCATTGCTAACTTTACTAAACTCATGCTTTATCTCACTCATGCTAAGCCCAATGAACTGGGTACTGCCATTATTCACATTTTATAGATATAGAAACTGAAACTCAGGTCAGGGGGCTGGTAGGCAGTAGAGCTGTACTGGAACCCAGGCCTGGCCTCCTGCAGTGAATTCCTTGGTGGGGCCTGCTTGCCCAACCGGATTTTCTCTACTGTTCTCCCGAGGAACACACACTGATCTGAATTGAATCACTTGTCTCCAAGCCCTGGCAGAAGTTAGGTCATCATATCAGAAACGAAATCAAAACTCCAAACAAATACAAAGTTGGGGAGTCTCCCACAGCTCAGGGCCACTGAGGTTGCCAGAGAGACAAGCAGCAGTGGAGACCATTCCCGGCCTCCCCTCTCCCCAGCCTCTGCGTGGGGGAGGGAGTGCCTGCTCCCCGAAGGGGTCAGGGCGGAGCGTTCACCTTGGCTCTGCTGACGTTCTCCTTGGGGCCCTCCAGCTGCAGCCAGATGTGAGGGTTCTCGGGACAGTCCTTCCGGAGGACGCTCATCCTCACGCGGAAGATGCGCTCCACGTGGGGCTGCTGCTCCCACACCTTGTCCTCCGCCTCCGCAGACACGGCAAAGCGGTCCGGGGACGCGGAGCCGGCCCCCCAGGTCGGCATGGCTGCGTGGCGGCCCCGACCTGGAAGCAGGAAAGGCCGCTCAGAGCCTCACCGTCCCCTCGGCCCACATCTCGGTCTCCCGGGCTACCTCGGCCACCAACAGGTCGCACCGAGTTACAAACGGAGTAAACAGCCCAGGAGACCTCGGGCCATCTTGGAGTGAGGGGGAGAGTGTCAGGTTAGAACAGCCCGGGCCTTCCCTCCAAAGCGGGCGTCATGCATAAACCGGGCTGTCTCTCTGGGACGGGCGTCTGGCCTTTGTAAAAGAACGACCTTAGCCCCGAGCAGGACCGGGGACCGGGGCGGGGGAGGAGGGGCCCCGCTCCGCCTGGGGCCAGAGGAGTGGGCGGTGGAGAAAGAGTCCCTCTCCTCGGGGACTCTGCCATCCCCGGGCCGAAGACGTCCCCTCACAACGGGTCCTCACCAGGGCTGGCACCGGGCTGTCCTCCGGCGGCCCTCGTCTTCTGTTTGCCAGGTTCCAGCCACTCTCCCCCCCCCCCCCCCCCTGCCGCCCGCGGCCACCCCCTAGATTGCGCCACGCACCCCGCCCGGGCCCGGGGGCCGGGTCGAGCCCCGCCCACAGCCTCCGGCGGCCGCCGACCCCGACCGCGCTCGGCACCGAGGCCTCCGCTCCCGCGGCCCGCGCGCCCCTACCCGCCTCGGCCGCCCGCTGCGTCCGCTCCCGCCGGCGCCTCTAGGTGCCCGCGGCCCCAACTTCCCCCGGGCCCAGCCCCAGCCCCGGGGAGAAAGGCGGGGGGCTCCGATCGGGGCGGGCCTTCCCGGATTTCTCACCCAACTGGGACCTCTCTTCACATCTCGAACTGTTGTGTTGTGGTTTTTTTTGAGTCACTTCCTGGCCGGGGGCGGAGTCAGCCGGGCCCCTCGGGGGACGGGGCCAGCGCCGCGCCCGCCCCCGCCCGCCAGGCCCCGCCCCGCTCCCGGCTCGGCCCCGCCCACTCGCCGCAGTTCCCTGGGGCTCCCCGCAGCCCCCGCTGATCCCTCTGGTTCCTGCTGTTTTCCGTAGTTTCAGGAAAGAGGCACCGCTCATTGAGAGTCAGAGGTGAAGAGAGCTTTAAAGGGACGAAGTCAGGCCCCGCAGGTGAAGCTATTGGAAGGCCAAGGAGGAAAAGACTGGCCGAGTGACACTGTGGCCCAAGTACTTTTCCACCAAAACAATTGTGGGAAAAAGACCAGGGTTTTCCTTCCTAACAATGGCAAAGGTGCCACTGAGAGTGCTGTGAGGGACTTTGAAGAGGGGAGGAATGAGGAGGAGGAGGGACCGGAGGAACCGTCTCTTGCACATATGCACACACACACACACACACACTCACACACGTTCTCTGTCGTCCCAGTTCCAGTCTTCAGTGCTCTCTGGAGAGGCTGCCCTGGGGTTCTGGCTGTAGCCGTCCTGTCTGCTGCTTCCTCTCTCCTCTCCCTCCCAGAGCCCAACTGCTGTCATGTTGTGCCCTGCCAAGGAGGAGGGAACTGCAGTGACAGCAGGAGTGAGAGGCAGGACAGAGTTGTGGGGCACGGAGTGGTATGGAGAGGGAGATGCTGAGACCAGGTGACAGTGAGACACAGAGAGAGGGCTAAGGAATAGGGTGAGGGCTGTTGAGAGTCTGGGGGAAGAGTAGAAACTAAAAGGAGTAGCAAGAAGACAGGACTTGTGGGTCACAGCCACTCAGCCATGCTGGGAGCAAAGCGACTCTGGCTACCAGGTCTTGCCCCCAACCCCTGGTTGCCCTTGGCCCTGATGCTTCTGGCCCTGGGGACCGGATGGGCCCAGGAAGGGTCGGAGCCTGTTCTCCTGGAGGGCGAGTGCCTGGTGGTCTGTGAGCCCGGCAGGGCTGCTGCAGGGGGGCCTGGAGGAGCAGCTCTGGGAGAAGCGCCGCCCGGAAGAGTGGCATTTGCTGCAGTTCGGAGCCACCACCATGAGCCAGCAGGGGAGACGGGCAACGGCACCAATGGGGCCATCTATTTTGACCAGGTAACCCCCTACCTGCAAGGACCTGGAATCAATGCAAGCCCACTCTGCTGCTAAAGAGACAGCCCTGCTGTGGCCAATTGCCCCTCTGCCCCTCTGCCCATCTCCTTTCCCTTCACTCTTGCCCCTACACCTCCTTGCCCTTTCTCACTATTTTTTTTTTTTGAATCTGTGCATTCCTCCTGTGGGCAACTACTTGCAACTCCCTATTTTCCTTATTCACTGCCCTGTCCCTCAACCCAGTGGTTTCCCTGAGCCCCAGGCGTTCCCCCGCCCACTCAGCAGGGTCTGCTTCCCCCAGGTCTTGGTGAATGAGGGCGGTGGCTTTGATCGCGCCTCAGGTTCCTTCGTGGCCCCTGTCCGAGGTGTCTACAGCTTCAGGTTCCACGTGGTGAAGGTGTACAACCGCCAAACCGTCCAGGTGACCTGAACATTGGGCCCTGTCGTTGTCCAAACTCGGGTGGGAGGAGAAATAAGTGGAGCCCAGCTGACTCCTGGGCAGACCCTCCATTGGCCTGTGTCCTGGGGGGCCAGGAGCAAGGGAGGAAAGGGCCTGCCTCCCAGAGAGTGGGGGATCTTCAGAGTGGAACACTGGCTACCCCTCAGCTCTCCCAGGAGATTGCACTGAGCCTCAGATTCCCAGGTTCGAGTGTCCCTCTGGGGCTGGGAGAAGAGGAGTAGCCCTCAGAAAAGTGGGGTCCTAGGACAAGGGCTGGGTAGAGACGCTAACTGGTCTCCCTTCCCAGGTGAGCCTGATGCTGAACACATGGCCTGTCATCTCAGCCTTTGCCAATGACCCTGATGTGACCCGGGAGGCAGCCACCAGCTCTGTGCTACTGCCCCTGGACCCCGGGGACCGGGTGTCTCTGCGCCTTCGTCGGGGGAACCTGCTGGGTGGCTGGAAATATTCAAGCTTCTCTGGCTTCCTCATCTTCCCACTCTGAGGGCTCAAGCCTTTCAAGAATGGGAATCCAGCCCCTGACCTCTGCCCTCTGCCCTCCCCTGCCCCAGAAGCAACATCTTTGGGGCAGGAGAAAGGCTCCCTCTGGCTGCCTGAATTCCACCTTCTTGCATGGGATCTTGTGCCAAACACCCAAGGTGATGAGTAGAGCTATATCTAGGGACGGGCCCCTCTAAACCCCCTTCTCCTTCTCACATGCCCTCACAACCTCTCACTGCATCTCTCTGTCTGCGACCTTAGGATCAGGGCAGGATTTTGCAGGTAAAAAGTCCTGCAATACTTTGCAGATTTTGCTGCTCCTTCCCTCACCCCACCCACAGCCTCTAGCTCAGTGCTACTTGGAAACAGGTGGCACAGGTGAACCTGACAGGCCCCCACAAGGGCCCAGATGGACCAGCCTCATCATACCCTACAGGCTCCTTCCTGTGAGGAGTGCCAGCATCACGGATTTCTGCCAACAGTCAGGAGCTGAGCCAGCACCATATGGACTAGGGCAGGAGGCTCAGCCACCAGTATAATTGTGGGGAGGGCCACTGGGGAGCCCAGAGCCTATGGCTGGTAGGACAGGAATGGGACATGTGACCAGCCTGAACAAGGTACACATTTTTTCATGCACACTGGGGCAGCCAGCAGGCAGCGAACCTGGGTGTTCATCTGTACAGGTCCCAAATGGACTCTGGCCCTCACCTCCCCACCTGAGTCGTGTGTGTGTGTGTGTGTGTGTGTGTGTGTGTGTGTGTGTGTGTGTGTGTGTGTTTGCTCTGGCTGAGAGCAGGTATACAGTGTTTCCTTGGGCAGCTGTTGGTGGGGGTAGAAGGTCACCTGTGGACAAGTATAGATCTCCAGGCATGGAACACATCAATGACCATAGCAATCTTTTAAAAGTGCTCAACCTTTGTAGTCTAAAGTTCAATCACTTCATGTTCTAGCCACCACCTCCTTCCTCCCAGCTCTATCAAATACCTTCACCAAACCTGTTGTGGAATATCCCACAACCTCTCTTCTTTCCCCTGATCTGTGCTATCTTAGCCTCCTTTTAAACTTCCTATTTCCTTGGTTTCAATGATGCATTCCTTCAACCACTCTCCTGCCATTATTATACACTCTCTTACCTGTCTGTCCAATTGGTCCAGCATGGATGACTCTATCAATAAAGTAACTAGAGAATGATAGTTGATGAGACACTATAAGATCACTAAAGATAAAAGATGCCATTACAGTTTGGATTAGAGACTCCAGGATACAAGCAGGTATGTTGTAGAGAAAATAAGTATAAAACTATGCCCTGGCCAGCGTGGCTCAGTTGGTTGAGCATCACCCATGCTCCAAAAAGTTGCCTGTTCTATTCCCAGTCATGGCACATGCCAGAGTTGCGGGCTTGATCCCTGGTGGGGGGCTTGCAAGAGGCAGCCAATTGATGTTTCTCTCTCATCAATGTTTCCCTCTCTCTCTTTCATCCTCTCCCTTCCTCTCTCTCTCAAATCAATAAAAACATATTCTTTTTTAAAAAAGGAAAACTGTATGTTAGAGTCAAAAAAAGATTTAGTAATGCTTGAGTTAAATAGGAAATACCAATGTGAATGTGTGGTTTTCAAAGGACATAATTTTTTCCAATTTTATTACTAAGATAGCATAGAAACAACATTAGGAAAAAATCTGATATGCATTCTTAGCACCTGGATCTTTGCTTCAAATATTACTCACCTTTAAAAGGACTCAGGGTTACTTGGAAAATAGCTCCTTATCTCAAATAACTATAGGCCTGGAATATGTTGTTGAAGACAATAAGCAAGGATGTATAGACTAAAGCTGAGAAGGTAAAGGAACCAGTTTTTAAAAACACCTGGCATTCTGTGACAATTGGATAATCAAAAGAAAAATAACATAGTTAATCAGAACAAGGTGAATTTTTTAAATTTATGACTTTCCATAGTGATATTCCTAAAGGAAAAAGTCACTGTGAAGTGAAGAATGAATATAATAGGATATTTTTAGTTTGTTTTGATAAGTAAAAGAGTATAAATGTAATATGTATTTTAACTATTCATAAGGTACATTTACTTTTCTTTATCTGTATAAGGGAGGGGTGTGTATAGAGAGCTATGAGTAATTCCAGAAAAAGATTGGAAGTGTACCAAGAACGAAAGAGACTGATTGGCACCAGCTGGTCATGTATTACAACTAGAAAGAACGAAAGTCCAATAGTGTGTTACAAGATAATGAATTAGTCAAGTGTCCAAAAGATAACTGCTCACTGCTCAAACTTGATCCTTTATCTCTCAGGAAAGGGAGCTTCTGTATTACCATACTAATTATAATGATATTACAGCAACAGTGAAGCCCAAAATAAAAATGTATTAAGCAAAGTAGATTATTTCTGTCTCATATAGAAGAATCTGCAGATAGAGTCCAGGGATGAATGACAGTTCTTTGGGGTTCCTGGATCCAATTCCAATGTGTGTTGGTGGGTGGGGGGAGGGGGGTGGGCGAGGGTGCTTCCCACAAAACACCAGGCAATTCTCAGACACCAGCAGGATATCCAAGAATTGGGCTCAATTCAACACAATTCTGAACCTACCTACCTGGATTTTGCATCAGATTCCACAGGTTAAGGATTCAGTCCTACACCACCACCACTCTTTACTTCAGGCCCCAGCCGAAAGCCCAGACTGTTAACTGTACTTCTAACCAACTGCTATGGATTGGAAATTCCAATTGCTCCTTCCTTGACAACTTCCAGGTTGTTACCTGTGCCTCTGATTGACTGACTAGGTTCCAGGGTTAAACAAAAAACTTTTAACTTCCACCCTGCTCGGTGCGGCTCAGTTGGTTAGGCATCATCCCCGTGAAAGTTGGCTGGTTCGATTCCCAGACAGAGCACATACCCCAGTTTGGGCTCAGGTTTTAGGTTCGATCCCCGGTAGGGGACGTGTAGGAGGCAGGCAACCCATCAATGTTTCCTTCTCACATCAATGTTTCTCTCCCTCTCCCTTCCTCTCTCTCTAAAAATCAATAAAAAATCTTTAAAAAAAAAACTTCTAACTTTCCCAGCTGAGTTTTTTAAAAGAAGGGGTTTATTGGGCCATTTCTAGCAAAAAAAAAGAATACTGGTTGTGGGGCATGGAGTCTAAACCACTGCATGGGGTCAGGACTTGTATGCATGCATATAAGCCTAACCAATGGACACAGACAACAGGGGAGTGAGAGCATGAGGGGGGTGGGGGGGGGGGGCAATGGGGCAATAAGGACACATATGTAATACCTTAATCAATAAAGAAAAAACATTATAAAAAATAAAACACTGCATGGGTAGGTAGAAAAGATAACATATCTGATGTTCAGGAGTTTTGCCAGTGTTTTTATACATCAAAAATGGAGGAGAAAGCTGTAAGCCATTCTGAAAGAATTTTCTTTAGCTATAGATAAAGGGAATGGGGGAAGGTGGGGTGGGGCTAGTTCTGGGACGGGTGCAACAGAGACCACAAAGTTCATGTGCGATAAGCAGTGGAGGCTCTTGGGCTTCAGTGGCACCCCGAAATTAATTCTCCCTTGGATGATCACAGAGATAGCTACCTGGAAATTAATCCTAAATTCCAACAGATACCCAAGAATGTGAGCAGTCTTTTGTCATACAGCAATTAACAGGCTAACTGTTGTGTCTCTTTCACTCTCTGGTGCTGGAGTTTTAACTTATAACATCCCAGAATTTTTTCTCTTGTCACCAGTGACCTCCAGTTAATTTGCTAGAGAGGCTCACTGAACTCAGAGAAACACGTTACTTACTTACTAGATCACCTGCTTATTATAAAAAGATTCAAGAGCCCTAGTTGGCCAAGTAGCTCAGTTGGTTAAGTATTGTTCTGATATAACAAGTTTACAGGGCTCTATCCCCGGTCAGGGCACATATAAGAATCCACCAATGAATGCATAAATAAGTGTAAGGGACATCCCCGGTCTTTAAGGATTTTGTCTCACTGTACCAGGCCTACCTTCACTCTCAATGGAGAAGGCCCTGGACTGAAATCTGCATGACAACCCTATTCTTGTTCACTGTGCTCTTTCTGGTGACCTCCCTAACTGACTCTCCATGGCCAACATCTTTGTCTTTGGCTGATGGTGGTATTACAAGGGATGGCCTCCGCCATTTTGGTGAATTAACTCAATGTTCCTTGGTCTCTCCCATGTATACAGGAGGTATGCATGTTATCAAACTTAATTTGTTTTCTCTTGCTAATCTGTCTCGTTAATTTGATTATTAGTGTAGTCACCATTAAGGTGAAGGATACATTAAGGTAAAGGATAATTTTTCCTTCCCAACATGGTTGTAAGACTGGGGCTCTGGCCCCCTCCATCTTTGAGCCAACAATGTCAGGCCAAATCCTTCTCACATTTTAATCTCTCTGACCTACACTTCTGCCACATGTCTGACTTCAGTGGAGAAAGTTCTCTGATTTTAAGGACTCATGTAATTAGATTGGCCCCACCCAGATAATCTTTTAAGGTTCATAACCTGAACTACATATTACAAGTTCCTTTTGCCATGAAATAGAACATCTTCAGAGGTTCCAGAGATGTGGGCATGGACATCTGTTGACATCATTTAAAGAAAAGGCATCTAGTTACAATACACCAAATACATGGAAAAGGTGTAGGCTTGAAAGGGTCCTGTGATAAACAAGATAAGCTCAGGTGTGGTTTTTTGGGGGGGTTTTTGTTTTTTTTTTTGGTTTTTTTTATTGCTTAAAGTATTACAAAGGGTATTACATATGTGTCCTTTTTTTCCCCCTGCCCTTGACAATCCCCTGATAAGCTCAGGTTTTAATCATCTTAAAAGGTTAAACCAGTTCCCAGGCCCCAATCAAGACTTCATCAATTTTTTTTTAATTTTCCTAAGAGTTTATGTGAGCCAAATTGACGACATGCTGGAAAGCAAGATCTCAAATGCTGGAGAAAGACAGTTTTACAGTTTTCTTTATATATAATATTCTTTGGGATATCTACATTCAAACTTTGGTCTCAGCTGAGATAATATCCATCTCTTGGGTCTACAAACCAATTTCTATAACGGGACTAAAGGTCGGGATGATAAACTTTGTAAACTTTGTAGGATTTGTGTGCTTTACTAAAA